TAGTGAAGTTATAAAAATCGATGAATAGAACGGCCAATTTTAGCCGAAAGAAAATACTGAAAATTTAATAAATATATAAGGGACGGTTTCTCCATTGGTTCATTTGTGCAGTGAACACCCATAAGAGCACATTTTTTTAATATCACATATAAATAACTTAATAATAAAAATTAACTTTAATATATTTATTATTTTCCTACGTATTAATCTCTACTTTTTTTGGTACCCCACTGCGCCCATGCCGATCGCGTCTGTCGGTTCAATATGTCTAGTGAACGCGAGAGGTGTCTGAGAATGAACGTTAAAAAGACAGGTTAATAGATCCGTGAAACAGCTATTTTTAGCATCATTTTGTGCATCGCACGTAGATTACGTCACGACAGTTAACTTCGCTTGGTCCAACGATTAGTTATTGTTAGAGATACGTAATTTTTGTTTTTACGAAATAGAAGCGATAGATGCAAAATTCACGTAATTTATGCGATAAATACGAAATATAATATTTTGTGTATTTAATATTTTTTCGACTAAATTTCGAAGAAAAACATTTTTAAAGGCAATAAACACGTGAATTTTCTAATATTACGAGCCTCACGCACGTTGTAAATGCACACCGCCTGCGTTTATATGACCCAAGGCAGCTTTTTTGCACTCAAGAAAAATTAAAAGTGCTTATTTGAACTACTTGCAAGAACACGCTCCGCGACTGACTCCGAAACTTTGCCCCACGCCAGTTGTAACTAGCTGGAATTCTTGGTTCAAATCTGCAATCTATTTGAGCAAATATGTGGAGAATATTATTGCTTTTTATGAATGACTATGAAGACGATAACATGAGTACTAGTTACCTGGCGGAATTTTTTGAAAATAAAAATACGAGTTCAGTTGACATTCGTATCCGAGTTCTGTCCAAAAATAATGAAAATAATTGACAACTTGAAAAAATCAAAATATCTATTCGCGAACATTTTATGGAGCAAATTAGAAGATTTAAAGTCTTCTCTTGAGCGAAAACGTGAAGGTTCGTTTAGAGAAAAAACTGAAAGCATTTTGTTAAACGAAAATGGTGAATTCCAACAAGATAAATTGTCTTCACATATGGGGTCCAACCCAACAAACGATTCCTACTGGCAAATTATTTAGCCCATCAGTAGCAGCAGCAGCCGTGACACATCGTCTCTGGACACTAACTCAACACTGGAGAGCTTCTCCAGAATACCATCTTTCAGGGATATACCACAGGATGAACCCTTAAGTGGATATGCTCATTTCCATAGACAACTTGTCAATGTGGTTCAGCAAGAAACTCCTGTTAACGTCATGCAGATTTTACTTGCATCAAAATGTTGCTACCTGAGGTTCGCGAATGCAGCTTTTCAAAGTCTTCATAGCCCAGTCAACAGTGTAGATGCTGAAAGATACTTCAATATCTACAATGTCGTCATAAATGACCGAAGGCAAAGGCTTAAGCAAGAAAATAGAGGACAACCTGGATGTTATCTTTTAACTAACTTTTATGTAATAAATATTTTGTTATTTTAATGATTATGGTAAAAAAAATTTTGGATTTTTAATTAACATTTATGCGAAATTTCGGTTTTTTAGTTGCGAAATACATGTAACCCTAGTTATTGTGCTTGATCAAGGTCACTCCGACTGGGAGTCTTTAATTCAACATTGCTACATTTGGTAGATTTCTACTTTTTGGTAGATTTCTGCTTTTTTGGTAGGTTTTCAGCTATTTTGGCTAGTTTTAGTAGACATATTTCTTTTGGTAGATTTCAATAGATTTCTATAAATTAATAAAAAAAAATCCAATTGTTCAAATAAAACTTCCTATTTAAATAATTCTGTTGTCAAAATGGATTGCTAAAAACGTTAGGGCCGGGCGATCATCAAAATAAAAATCAGTTATTTTCGATTAGTAGATTGCTTAAAAATAATCGATTCTTTATGATTTATTGATTATTTTCGATTAATCGATTATTTTCTATTTTCGATTCTTTCCGATTTTTTCGATTAATCGATTATTTATTTATAACTAGAATACAGTTAGTTAATAGTTGTAGTGTTTGAAAACAGTATAATATTGTAATCGATTAATCAAAATCGAATATATCTCTAAAAAAAAAACAAAAATATCCGATTACTCTAAAATAAACGATTTTTGTATTTTGTTCGGGGTTTGCACGTTTGCAGTGCAGTGCGTATTTGAGTTTAGTTAATACGATTGCTTTTACTTCTAGTGTGGTGTAGTGTAAATACAGTTTTAAACAGTTCTACCGGGCGAACTTTGAACAAAACCCATTATTTTCATCTTAGCTTGGCAATGCCCAGACTGGGTATAGTAGCGTTTGTATAGCCACGTAATTTAATCAAGAATTACTTCACTAAAAGAGTAAATGTTTGTGCCAAGTATAAAAAGCATATTTCAGGATTCACTGGCAGCTCAGGTTTGTCAAATTTTTGCTTTTTTAGATTGACAAGTTCTTCGAAAATGTCACGAGTTTCAGATGAAATAAAAACGGTAATTTCTGCGCTTGTACCATTTCTAGTAGGGTTGTAACGGAGGCCTTCTTAGCGGAGGCGATGAGTTTCGCCTCCGCGGATGCGGAGGTTAACGGAGGCGGAGGTAAAAGTGGATATGGAAAAATATTAATTTATGGTTTATCAAAAGTAAAAAATCTTTATTTCAAATAGGTTCATTGTTAGTACACTTTAATAAACACCAAAATTGGCAATCAAAATCACTAGTAATCAAAATTAAGGAGAGGCAAATTATATTTTACAAATAACAGTTTTGCGGCTTTGTCACCTTCCAGGCGATTTCTAAGAGGATCATAAATTAAGCCAGCTGAACTAAATAATTGTTTACTTGGCACTGAACTGGGCGGCGCCGATAAATACGTGCGAACGATGGGAGAAAAAGCTTTATATTTAGTAGTATTTATCCACCACAATAAAGGATCATTGTCTAAATTGAGTCGGTTTTCTTTATTATATTCACTAATTAGTGATTTCCATATCATGAGGTTTCTATTGCTGCTGTTATTTTCGGTTTCCTCTTCACTGTCACTGATATTTGTCAGCTTGTCAGCCAGATTGGAATGTACACTTTGTATTGGTGGTAAAATCTGGAAACTTGTGCTCAGTTCATCAAGTACCGATTGAAGTAAATACATCTCCGTTATAACTCCGTAAATATTTGACGGAGGCGGAAGCGGAGGCGAAGGTACGATTTCTTGCGGAACTTCCGCAGTAACGGAGGCGAAGGCGAAGTTCCGTTACAACCCTAATTTCTAGTAATGGATCATCTAAGTGATGGTATCAAGAAACCTTTTCATGACTCAAAAAACTTATAAAAAATTCGTAATTTAATTGTAATAAAATGGACGATGCCAAAGAAGTTTTGAGGAATATTGGCTCTTGTACAACAAAGTTTTACAAATGCTAAAATTATTGGAAAAAAATTGAACCGCCATTTTAAATTACCACGAGCCGCCACTGATAAATAATAAATATAAATAACAAATAGACCATAAAATGAAAATCAAAAAAGAATAGAACAAACATTTAAAAAATTTAGCAGACTGACTTAAAAATGGGGTTTTACTCGGGTTTTTAGGATTAGGACATGGAAAATAATAATTATTATACAAGCCACCCTTCTCTGCACTAGCTCAATCGGATTCTGGGGTTAAAATGCACTAGTAAGGGGGTTAATTATAGAGAAAGTATTAGAAATAATATTAGTCAGAATGTCGTTTACGTAAAAAAATCTACTGAAAGGTTAAAAACGCTCGTAGCCAAATTTTTCAGTCCTACTTCTTAAAAAAAAACCAATGATAAAAAAAATAGAAAAAGTGAAAAATTGTCAAAAATATCAAATTCTATTAAAATAAAATTTACTATAAAAAACGTGATTATGAGTCACTTAACAGAAGAAGATAATTTCTTCGAGGCAAGGAAAGGAATATTCTACCTGGGCGAAACAAGGGTCAATGCACTGAAATTTGTTTATTTACATTTTGTATAAAATTCTATCAGCTTTAAATATCCCGAAAAAAGTATAGTATCGAACTTGTAAAGTAATTACGTAATCGTAATGTTTCCATTCATGCCTGATTTACCTTCGTTTTTTTTTCTTACTATTGGCACTGGCAGAATAAAATTGTTAAGTAATATATAATAGGTATTAATGTTTTGATTTGCCTCTATAAACAAATTGATTGGAGTAAAAACTGTAAGAAATACTTAACTATAAATACCTAGGTAACAATTATAAATAAAAGTAAACACAGCAGTCAAATTCATAATAAAAAAAATACCAAATTAAAGGGGCGGCAATGTTAGGTACATACACCTGGGCTAACGACCCAGAAAACAAAATTATTTTGTTACCTAAAAAAATCATTGTAGATAGGTGTAAGCTAAGTAATAAAACATTTTTTATTGGTTTTATATTAAGTATTTATCGTACCCATGAGATACAAAAAACACGCAAGTACTACTTATAAGTATGTAAATTAAATAATTACTGTAGAGAAGAGAGACCGAAAATAAAAAAGTTTAGAAATAAAAAAAAATTAAATTGTAGTCAGAAATTAATATTGAATTGATTAAAGCGGATATCTAAAATGCCCTAACACAATACAACACAAAAGCCTCGACTCGTCCACTTTTTGCGTGTAATTATAAAAGTACAGTCTGTCACAAAGACCGAGCATCTCGCAGTTGTCATAGCGACGCTCTGCGATCACGGTACAGTTGCGGCATGATTTCGCGAAACAAACCCGTGGTGGTGAGGCGGTGGGTGACAAGACAGGTACAGTCAGAGGGCATATCGATCGACTAATCAAGAATATTCGCCCCTCTACTCATTTACAATGCGTGAAAAGCCAAAGAGGAGAGAAATAATTGAAACACCCAAATCGGGCGGGCGGACGTCGCCTATTTCTGACCCTAAAATTAAAATTGGTAGGTACACTAATAGTACTCACATTGGTGTTTGTCTGCTAACTGAATCAGCTGGCTAGGCAAATCTCTTCGCCTATAAAAACACATCACTTTAGCTTCCACATTTCCAGAAGCCGTTTTATTTAATTCCTCGATACGACGGATCTGGTAAGGAGATGTCGATGACGTCTCAAAATAGACGTAATCTGTAAAAAAGAATTAAAAAATTGTATACCCATACTAACTACCCGTACCTAATTGCATTATATTTATCATAATGACCTCCACTAATTACAATATTTTTTTCTGTTTCATTAAATGCCTGCAATAAGATCACACACGTAAACAAAGTACCTAGTAAATTTTATTAGATAATGATAATGAATTCAGTAAAACTAAATCACTAACGATGGTTCATTGTTCCCGCATATTTTTACCTCGAATAAAAATAGAATCTACATTAGGAATAATTCAAATTAGGTATAATCATCAATATTTTGGACACTATCCATCCACATATCCTACGAAGCATGAAATTTTTACTGAACTCGTCAATAATTCCTAGTTAATTGTAAATTATAACCTTCATATTAAAATAGGTAACTAAAATTTCCTTAATTATTTATCAAATGCCTCAATTACTGACCATAAAAAAACATAAAAATCAAACATTTTTCGAAAAATTGCAATCAAAAATCGTTGACAAATGCAAAAGACTTTTTTTAAATAGTCTAGATCAAGAGGACATAGACAAGCAGAGCATAATTCATAGCGCAGATGAGTATTTCCTTGTGTAAAGCCGGTTTAATTGAAAACAAACAGGTACTAACCTCCAACACGATACATATTGGCAGTCATTTTCACAACACATACACCGTAATCCTTATTTTAAAAAATAAATTAGACGAACATATTTAAAAATTGTTAATATATTCCAATGTTTATATCACTGCACGTAATACCACCACCAAGCTCACAGACGCCATTTTCTCGTATCAAACATCAAAACTGTCTGTCCGCGTCTGAAAAAGAATGAAGTTGTCTAACAAATTGACGACAGCGCCAAAAAAATATGCAGCGGACAGTAGCTCAACATTTAAAAAAAATAAAAAAAAAAGATTTCAAAATCATTTGTACAAAACCTTAATATTTTATTTATTTGTAAAACAAAAGAATTATGTATTTTTTTTATTTTCTAACATTTTAATGTGAACGTAAAGGAATTTATAATTTATGCAATATATCGACAGAATTTAATCACATAAAAACCATTTCAAAAAATAGTACATCAGTGCTAAAATATATATTTTTTATTCACAATTTTGACCTAAGCATTTACTTTTTTAGATTTAAACGATTTTCTTCTTAACTGGGAGGTGCTATCTATGAACTGGTATCTTTTTTTAATGAAAAATCATTAGTAGATGTCCTTTTAGTCAATTTAATTTAATTTTAATAAAGAAATCTGCAAAATGGTTACACTTTTTTTCAATAGAGGGCACAACAAGAACAAATTAAATAATCCAGCCTGTAACATACTAAAATGCAAATGTGTTTATTATACAGATGATAAACAAGGAAATCGTTTCAAAAATTACATTGCAAACGTTATTGGGAGCAAAGACGTGAACACAGAACTAGAAGTTTCATAGTTCTATCCAATGTACTTCTTTGGTTCTATCATTGTGTTCTGTGATCCTATAAAATGTCAAGTGTCTAATGTCATGTGTCAAATGCCACTGTCATTCTGACAAGATTCACGGCGACCATTCCCAAATGAGTTAGAAATATAGAAAAACTTGTTTCTAGTGAAAAATTCCAATTCTTATGATATATTTTGCATCTACAAACGTCCAATGAGGTCAATAAAGTAAATAAAAGGAACAGTTCCTGTTGTAAGTACACATACATTTCTGTATATAAGCTTTTCTTTTAAATTAGCATCTCATTTGTATGTCTGTATTCAAAGAATTGCGCCGTAAACTGAATATAAATAATTTATTGCTGCTTTGAAGATTTAATGATAAAGAACAAATGATTTTTTTACTATGATACCTTTTACTGGGTTAATATTGCCATCTAGGAGTGGTCTTATGTTCGCGGATTGAGGCGGCATACAAGGGAAGAGTGGGAAATTTCAGTATAGGTACTGATCTCTTATCACCATTAATAAATATAATGTTACACATTTTTTCAGTTCCCGAATGTTTGGTTTATGTTAAAGCTGACAAGTTTATTTTATGTTTACATTTAAAATTGGACCCTGGCTTATAAATGTTTATTGTAGCGTAGGTTTTTGGTATATTTTCTTAACTTTAAAATAGTTTTGATATAATAACATAATCAAGTTTTTATTACCAATTTTAAATAGCTTTATTACTCAAATTGCCCCATAGTTTAATGCCAGCCTGGATACCAGCTTTTTATAGATGTAAGACAATATTTAATTTGTCTTAGACTGATTTTACCTATGTGCAATATTTTTATTTTATTAGCCCTTAAAATGACAAATATTTTCATTTTAGAATTGATTTCATAGCTACACAAAACAATAATCTATTTGCAAACTCCATTTATTTGATAACTGATAAATGGTTTTTGAATAAATCCTAATTACCTTTTTGTTCAAAAATACATTTCTCACACATTGTTGACACAGATAACAAGTGAGTTGTGTCCTGATAAAACCTAAAATAAACAAATCATAAATGTACACCACTCCTAAAATATGACATGATTTGATAAATTGATTTTTAAATGTTCTATATTATAAAATGAAATGATTTTTGTCATGGTGTGATGTCCAAGAAGGTAAAGGCTCCCTCACTGTTTGCTGTGAATCCATGGCTTATTTTAAATTTTTATGGGCAATTTATAGATAAAATTGTTTGAGTAGTGGAAATTGTAGTTTTTGATTTCCAAACACACTCCACTGGTAATAAATACAATAGCATACAATTTTAAGCGGTAAAATATTCATGGCTGTTGCAAAATTTCTGCCTGAAGAGCCCCAACTATTATTGCTTTAAATCGGCATATATTTTAATTTTAATATATGATTGTTTTCCTTTTGTAATGGATCCATTCCTTTTTTTATTTAAATAAAAAATAAGTATAAATGAAGCTGAACCTATTATACCTACCCCGTGTTAAGATTATTATGATTTTTAATAGAAGATAATATGTTGTTGAATAAATGCTTATTATAGTAAGAACACCATTTTATATTTATTTAGTATTTCTCTAAGAAATAATCTTTAAATATTTTACTTTTAAATAAATTGTTTAATGTCAAAATGAAAAACAATTTAGAAAACTTAATTGTTTTAATTATAAATGTTTTGAGGACTAATTTATGAATTAATTTGTTTTTTAAGTCAGTGTCCTATTGGTTTGTCTCAAATTAAAAAGATAATTATGACTTTTTAATTGGTTTATTAGAAGTGTTTATACTTTCAAATATTTAACCCTTTCAGTCACAACTTTTTATTTATTAAATAATTCTGACACGACAATGATTGTCTTAATATATTTTTTTAAGATTTTGAAAAATATTTTTAGTATTTTTCCGTCATTTTCAAAAAAAATAAAATATACATTATAAATAGGGATCGACCGATATGATTTTTTGTGGCCGATACCAATATAATGGCTATACATTTTTATTATTAATATTTTACTATAAAACTGATTACGCCCCTTTAGCAAAAATTGCTTGGAAATCAAATCAGGTAGACCAAGAGGTTTAGGAGAATGTCCCTGACACGATTTCTCAAGGTTGATTTTGGAATAACTTACTGATATGACAGCAAGTAAATCACCAAGAAGACTAATACTGATATGATAAGTAAAATTGAAGGTGAACTTAAAATTTATATTAATTTAGAGAAAATATCAAAAATGGAGTTCCTTTGATTTGGTGGGCACAACAATAAGACATTTTTCGACTATTATAAATATAAATCTGCAAAAATATACTTAGCACCCCTACCAGTAGGTAGTGTGGCTAGTGAACAGCTATTCTCTCCAGCTGATATTATATAGGGCAATTCATTAAGGGAGGAGAGACCGGTCATATCTCAGAATATCTTGAAGTATATCGCAAAAACAGGTCAATTTTTATTTATTTATGTAGCACTTACAGAATGTAAAATTTCAAATAGTACAGTATATCCAACCTAACACAAACAGTTGTAGAGTTAAAAACAATATTACATAAATTAAAAAATATATATAAAATATTAAGAAAAGGAAGAATAACATAACACGGCGGGACGACACGAATAAAAGTTAGACATTCTATAACCTTTAAAATTCAAAATAATGGCATTGAAATAATTTGTTGCTATACATCTATAACAATAAACAATCCCTGTGCATTTTTTGTAATCCGGTTTTGCTACTTGTTGCAAGTTCCTTTTCAGCGCCAAAATATTACAATTAAATATATCACAGTCTGAGTAAAATTTGTTATAGTTCTTGCATAAGCGATCAATAAATGCACTTTGTCCGTAATTGGTTCTGTGTCTTTTTACATTCAAAAGTGATGTGTGCCGAGTCCGTCGGACAGGAACCAATAGCTGAACTCTCTCAAGCAGTGACCTGCACTTGATGGAACCACCTATTAATTTAGTCAGGAATAGGTGTAAAGCCTGTTTTCTTCTGCATTCCAGGCTCTGCATGCCACAAAGCATTAATCTTATTTGATAACATGAGTTATGGCTATGAAATCGGTGTTTAAAGAGCAGGTATTTTACGAATTTACGTTGCACCCTTTTAATTCTATTGATAGGACAGGTGTAAGTAGGTTGCCAAATAACAGAACGGTCGTAATTTTTAAGAATAACCAAAAAATTAGGAACAGACGTCTTAAAATGCAGTTCTTAATACTGTTTTGTGTCTATGGTAAGTAATATTTACAAACTAGTTATTGAATCAGTGTTAAAAGTATTGTGTTATTTTAATTCCTTTTTGTTTTCAGAAAATGTTGCCCCTCCAAAATACCCTGTAAATCGCTAAAATCTGTGAACCTCAGCCATCAACATTAAAAAATGATTCAATGCCATTGACATCAAACAAAAATGTACCCCAAAATCCTCAAAGGTCCTATCATGTGTGTAAGTTAAAGCTCGAAAGCTAGATTAATTTATCACAATGCCCAGATGATGAATAAGAATTTAAAAATTACAAGTAGTGCACAAATAAATCAATTAAAAATTGATCTGAATGTTCTCCAACCGAATTGGTTGAGCTCGATAAGCACATGGCAAATTTTATCCACACTCAATTCGCCTTAATAGTAAGATACCAAAAAGGACAATGCTTCAACTTCAATTTTTTCAAACTTATTTGCCACTCCAAGTGATAAAACTCTTGTAAATGTCTTGAGCACTATACATTCTAATTTTTTTACAGAAAACATTTTTGATATGTTTGTTTTGTTTTATAAATATTATTTAAATGGTGTAAAGGCATATGTTTGAGCATTTCCATGTTAAAATAGACAAATTATATGAGGCAGCATTAATTTACTGTAATAAAAAATTAAAAACAAATAAAATAAATCGCATTTTATTTGAAGTTTGAAATTAAAGCAAAAATATAATTAAATAAAATCAAATATAAATTGGCAATATTTATTATTTATCTTTTGAAACTAGTCAAAATAAACTAATTATTTTATTTATTTTATTAACCTCATTACATTTTTGTCCAGGTAGCAGAAAGTTCAATTTCAAAAAGCCCGCCCCTAGAGGCCATATTGAATTTAGTACCTCAGAATTTTGCCATTGAGTTCCCATCTATTCACTCTCCCCTGATCTATCAATATGACTTGCTCATTACTTTACTTTTCATTTTAACACCATCTAGCTAGAAAAAAACTTTTAGGTGTTGGAAAATGTGACACTTCATTTGAAAGCTAATTTCATGAGTAATCCAATGCACCACATAACAATAACCTAATTATCTCCATATTGCACTTGCAACAAAATAAAGTTAGTTTCTTCCATTTTAAGAAGTTCGTTTTTGATTTAGTTATGTATTGCATTGAATAACTAATGAAATTAGCTTGTAAATGTGTCATACTTTCTAATACGTATCAGTTTTTTATCCCGCTAGAGCAGGGGTGCACAACATACGGCCCGCCAGTATCGTTTTGGCGGCCCGCCTAGAAAACTCGATCAGCAGGATAGATTATACATTATTAAATTGAAAAGTAACCCAATGAATAGTCATATTGCTGAATTTTCACTAGTAATACCACTAGAGGTCAAAAAATTTCCTGATATTAATTTGACCTCGCGTGGTATTCGGTAAGAAAATTCCACGCCGAATTATGGTTGAAAATTAAATATTTTTAAAATTTATTTTTCGTTTCTCAACAATGCAAATTATTTTCTCCAAGTCACCAGTGAAACATAAAAGGTGTTGTCGCCTTGATTGTTGAGTTGTCATGGTAACTAAGTGAGACCCTAACCTCGAATATAATTTCAGTTTTGAAGTTGTCAAGCGGCCCGACGTAAAAAAATGTTTCGCTGCAATTATTTAGGCCTTCAAATTGCTTATTTCTACTCATTGTAGTTGCATGGGAATACCATTTGAAAATAGAAAATAGTATATTCTTTAATTTTACGTAAGTTTTGAATAACTACAAGTGGTAGAAAATTGTTTTTCTGCGTTTTTATTAACATGCGTTATGAGCGCTTTAAAATGGTATGAAATTCATAACCAGCGTCAGCAAACATCAATCGTAGGAGGCTGTGATCATTGTATTTTGACAGTTCAAAACATTAAATAACTCGCGTTTTGTTGCGATAAAGAATATTGCACAGCAAGTAAAACCAACAAAATTACCTATTTGTTTAAAAATGAATCGATTTGAAAATCATACGCT